TATTTATTAATTTACTTTCCAGAAGCATATTTAATAAATAAAATTTAATGATCACGCATGTCTTTCACGAGCATCATGCTCTAGTTGTCAACGGGAAAATATCGATTTTAGGATCAGGTTAAAACTGGCATATTCATGTCGATATATGCCATACATAATCAACGGATGTTTGAACGGAGGGGGAGAAGCTCCATAAAGAAATTAGAGAGTGTTTTACGTTTTAAACGAAATTTCTGGTCGAAGATTCTTTTTGGAAACCATTCACCGTAAAGACTTTTTTATCGATTAAGGTAAAAAGGTTTGGAATGGTTTGAGAATGGTCAAGGTGTGGGGTTTTTATCTGAAAAGATTGATTAGAATTGATAAAAATTTTTTGTTACGTTACTTGAGTATATGCGTCAATGCGATCTTTTTTTAATTAGTCATTTTATCAATTAATATGGCGCAGGGCGTATAAAATACTCTAAAAGTAACAAAAAAACAAACATATATAGCAATTGTATTCAGGAGATAAATTTTACGCATATATGTAATATACTATGTAGATATTTTGGTGCTAGTACCTTACAGGCAAACTCGGGACTTGGATCATTGCTCAAAAGTTTTTCATTTTCTGTGAAATTTATTTACGCCTTTGGCGAGAACATAGGATGTTCATGTATATGCAGTGCAGGATAAACAAGGATACAAACAAGAATGTATTTAGTTATTAAATTCGGGGAATTTAATGATCTGACTATATAATCAGTCGTGTTACTTATTATTTTTTTTTTTATACTATATATATATTATTTATTTCACAAGTTGAGAAGAATCCTTAATATATGCATGAATGTTATTAAAATATTTTTAAATATTCGTGTCATGTGTAGCGAAACGCAATCGGGAAAGATTAAACAAATGATAACACTAGTGCGCATATAGACTGGTTTTAGAAACGTGTAAAAATAAAGAATTTAATTTCATCTTTTTTAGAAGATATCAAATGACGTACCCCATGGAATCCTTGGAACTATGTCGTCATTCGAGGTTTGGACAAAATTTGACATTAAATAACACAAAACTTTATTATGATAACCTACTTTAAAAGTTGTTCAGAATTAAAATTTGCATATATGCATATATATATTTAAGGTAGATCTATAAGCCGGATAAGACTATGGACACGTGTCGGGTCGTTCATTGGATCGCCCAAAAACATCTGGGCAAAGTATCAACACTGCCTTAGAGATCCATAAATGTCATACCAATAAACAAACCTGGGTAAAAAAGTCCGAATAAAATAATTTTTTATATCTAAATCATGTTCAACATTGGAATGTCGTGATTTTGATTTGATTCACAAATGACGGACTTTTTTCACCAAAGATGGTTAAGCAATGTGTCTAGAACTATTCATTTCGATATGTAATTCCGTTAACAATTTTATGAATCGTATATATGTTTACATTAAAAACAAAGTTTGTATGCTTCATGCGTGATATGTGGTAAACGTTCTAGATAAGTAATGTGACAAATGGTAACATTTTATTTTGAATAATACAGGCTTTACTTACTAAAATAGTAAATTCTTTGGTGGCATCATAGTTCAACTTTCTGTCACAACATTGGTACATTAAATAATTTCACCATATTTCGCGTGATAATCAAAAAAAAAAGAATCTCGACCTCTCGGTCTTTTAGCCTCATTGGTTCTTTTCACGTAGTAAGAATTACCGAAAATAGTCGTCAAACATGTATGTGTGTGCATAAATAGGAAATTACACACGAATTTCGAACCAGGCTTGTTTGTTTGCTCCTGTGCTTTCTTAACATGAACATTTCCCCTGAATCTGCAACAGGGATAAACGATTATACACTGTCTGAATGCACGACTATTATTTATTTCACCATGTGTATAATATCACAATATCAGCAGTACGTATGTATATAGCCAATATAGCCAATTACATGAATGTTGTTAAATTTTGAACTGTATTCTACGTACACAGCGGATTTTATAAAATGGATTCATTCGTGATCGGATCCTTTTCCCTGCATGTAAACAAGAAAACTTTCTATAATGTAAAAAAAAATAAATAAAAATACAGAAAAAAAAAAAAAAAATTAAAATTGTAAACAATATAACCATATAGGATGACATTTGAACAGCTTATCTTTTATCATTTACTGTTAAAGCCAAATGCATTCATTATATGCGTATTTACATAACGCATGAATCGCGCTATTGAATTTTTTTTTTTTTTTTTTTGTTAAAGAATTAGTCATCAAAAATCGTATGTTGAGTAACATTTTAAGAGCTATATAGGATTTAATAAATACGTAATAGAAATTTTTTTTTTTCATATAGTAGGACTATTTTTAAATGTTTAAAGTGAATCAACAACAGTCACGTCAATAAATTATTTTTTAGATTAGATAATCGACATGCAGCATATGCAAAGGGTTAGAATAATATTAAGATAATCTGAATAAGAAAAAGATATACATTAATGCAGCAAGTTTCACTGCATGCATAATATGATCGTTGCTATATATAATAAATAGATTATACGGCTCAAACAGAAAAGTACATAAAATCCGGGTCAACTCTTAACAAATCGAGTTTCTCAACAGAAAATCATGTGGAGAACTGATCTAGCCTAAAAAGGCAAGACATAAAAGTCATAAATTAATCTATTATATTTGACTTTAAAAATCCGCGGATAAAATACGAAGTCAAAATTTGGATCCTTGTCATTATCGAATTTATTTAAAAAGTTTTTACATAGCATACATTCAATGTTAAATGGAGATCATGATTTTAGAATATGACTTTAACAACTCGTCATATAAAATCAATATGTGCTAATTTAGGCTAGGATAAATACGAATACTAAGATGTACGGCACGCGTAATCCGGTGTATTTACATGTCTATAAATAAATATATCATATGGCCTAATCATTAAATCTTTCATGTAATGCATGGATTATAAAGGGAATTTAAATATCCCTAAAAAAAGTCATTCGAAAATTTCAATATCACCATTTTTAACCGTGTGCCGCGAAATTATCACGAAACTAGTATAGCTTGATTTATTTATCTTTTATAAAAACTCAATATGCAAAGATTGAATTCAAAGAAAGAAAAGCCTCAAAGTGCTTACCATTTTGATTAGGCTCGGCCGCATGTATATAGTAGTTCATCGCTGATCAAAATTTATTTAATGACTTTAACTTGTAATCACGTGATAAATGCGCAATTAAAAATGTAAAAGAATGTAATTATATTTATTGTTATGTTACAGTAAAAAAAAAAAAATTACTATTATTTGTTAGGTTTTAGTCTAAGGAATAGAAAAAAAAACCCCAAAAAGTAATTTGATCTTCTCTGAAAATGGCCTTTATTTAGAATACAAAAATTTGAGTTCATTATGATAACGGTGGCTGTGAGAGAGCAGTTTCGATATTAGTAATATTAAAAGATTTTTGGCCTAGTCGGTTTTATATTTTAACTTTTTCGTGAAATAATCTACATCTTACTTAATCTAGGCCCATCTAATATAAAGCTATTGATAGAATGTAATGGCTTGATCTAATTAGTATTCTATAAAAGTTTCAATTATTAAAAATTTGTTAATATGCTGTCGCTCCTCACTAGACTAATTACGTATAGGAGGATGATAATCATTTTACCGATTATCACTTTGTTTCACAATCAGCTCGTAGCAATTGATTTATCAAATATTCTAATGTGAAATTGATATATAAATTTGCCCCCTTTTAAGAGTTGAAGTGGGTGCTAGGCCAGTATAATTCTTTTTTTGGTGAACTGGCTGTCTGTGAAATAGGCGTTAGTGAGGGATCCGTTTTCTGCTAGATCTTATTAAGAATATTCATTTTATGTAAACTGCTTTGCCTTTTGTTTTTACGATTTCTTTTTCTATTTTTATCTTACCTTTTTCTTTGCCTTTTTGCTCAAGCTTTTGTTTTGTTTGTTTTTGTTTAAATTGGATTAAATCAAAATTTAAATAGTTTCATTAGAACTAGTTAGGGTAATAGGGTAAAGCCTAAGTTAAGATAGAAATTATTAAAAGAAATCCAAATACATTAATAATTATTTTAATCTGATGTATTATTAATCTGATATACAAAATGTATAAGGAACCGAATCCTGTGAGCGATACTTATATTCGATTCCTCTCAAGAGAAGAATTAAATGTCAAGATATTCGATTGATCATATCGTTCCACTTCTGTCATAATTCTCCTCTTTCTTTTCCTTTTTTTTTTTTTTTTTTAATATTAAGCTTTTTGCTTAGTTATTTATCAAGGGGAATTAATATTTCCGATACTTAGGTTATCAAAATAGTACATTCTGTAATTTACCAAATTCAGCTTTAGATATTTTTCACTAACCAATATACAGTATCTTTATCGACAAAAACCTTAATTTCTCCCCCACTTCTGATTGGACGTATGTAAATGCCATCTCCGATTGGGCAAAGTAGATTTCGACATTTTCCATCTTCCAATTAAATTACAAGATCAGGTGTAACATAAAAATGAAAAAATTTCAAAATTCGCCGGTAATTGCTTATGAAACCACAAAAATTCCTTGCGGAATTTTAATAGTACTGTTTTATTTGACCTTGGTACTAATACAATGTGCTTTATTATTTAATATGTTTTTTTTTGATTATAATATTCGAATGTCTGATTTAATTTATTTCGTCTAATCAGGGGCAGGATTTCTAAGCATCCTTGGGAAAAAATTAGTAAATCCCTTTATCGACTTGTCTTATTTTCGTGTAATTCATTCGGGCATCTCTTAACAATTTTTACTTAGCGAGTGAAAATTTGGAGGCCAAACCAAGTTACACGAAAAATCGTTCAATGACATTAAACATGTTGGACAACTATGTTTGTTGGTCAAATTGTGGTTTGCAATCGCAAATGCTTTTTTCTTCACAGAAGATATTGCACGCGTCCATAGTGTTCGAAATAAGCCGGGCCGAGCCTAATTTGGGCTCTCATTTTTAAGATAGGGGTCAGTTTTGGATTTTGGCCTGTTAATTATTGAGCCGAGCTTGGATTTATAAGGATGCCTCATTGGGACGAAGATAAATCCAAATAAGCCTGCATGAGAACCCCGATTGGATGCCAATATGAAGCAAAATTTGCCCGGAAATCATACCAATATTAGATAAGTGAGATACTCTAATGGCAAAATATTTAATTAGATAAATTAAAAATCGGATAGCCAAAGTAATAAGCAAGGTTTTGGCGTGGGAACAGGACACAGAAGTTTAGGATATTCCTTATACCCAGGGTTAGGACATGAAAATTTTTACAAATGAAAAATTAATACAAAATAAATTTAGAAGTATGCGCTATAGGCATCCCCTAAATTAAAAAATTGGAAGCACGCCTAAGAGTGCATGCCTTTAAGCTAAAGCCGTGCCCAAACCATAACTTCAGCGTGTCTGTGCCACAGAAAGGTTTTCGAATTTATTACCTGGCATAGCCCTTAGATTATGTTGATTAAACTCGAGAGCCTGACATCTAATATTTTTTTTTAATAATTTTAACAGATAAACGACAAATATTTTTTGAAGATTTGATTCGCATGTTCAATTTTTTAAAATATTCTTTTAAATGAGAATTCGGATTTTTTAACATTGTTCTTAAAACCACTTACATTCCGTATAATTCCTGATAAGCTGCTTCACCACCTCATTTTGACATAATTTTAGAATCAGTGTACAACAAAAAAAAACCCGAAATATAAGAATTCTTACATAGAACAATAAGCAGTTTCCTACAACCTCTAACTGAATTTATTACTAACATAAAACCTTTGGTTTGTATCACTTGCAGAAATAATCATTTTGAACCTTAGCACAAAATAGTAACTCGAATCTTATCAGTTGCGCCATACTAATCAAAAATTACAGATGCGTAGCATTTTATGTCGTCTTCAATTAATAATCAATTCCAAAGTATAATGTATCTAAATTAGTAAATACATGTAACAAGCAATGGAGTACGTATAAGGTGCCAATTCCAAGGTCTAGTCTTTGTTCTTTAGTAGGTGCGTACGTACGCACGCCAAGCAGAAAACTACAGAAACCAGGCATTTGGGGTATTTATTTCAATGGAGCTTGAGAAAAATTTGATGGTATATTCAGAGAACGTGAAAATGTCATTAGTAAGAGACTAGATTTACAGTTTTTTTTTTTTTTTTTTTTTTGTATAGTACGCACGTACGTACGTACAAGGATATAAACCAATTCGCTGACAATGTTGGCCTGATTTAGTTAGGGTTTGCATGATTTATAGTTAGCGTTGGCTATATGGGGTCTTTGCCTTGAAAATCACGTTATGGGACATATGATTTACTATGTCCCATAACGTGATTTTCAAGACAAAGACCCCATATATAGATTGTCGGTGGAACATCTTACTAGAACCCAGTAGATTGGAACCAACTAATCGTTAACTGGTTACCTTAACGTTAAAAAGATTATAAATGGGTAAAAGTCGGTCAAAAGTAACGGTAACTTATTGTAAATCAATGTATCAACATAGGTCATAACAAAGGCTAACGTTAATATGACTTTACAGCTTTATGGTCCTTTAATATATGTCGCGACTGATGCTGAATTTTAGGGTCCCCATTTAAATCTACAATACCTACTAAAATTCACATATACTCTTTTACTAACAAACACTAACCCTAACAAAAGGCTCCAAACTTTTAAAATTTCATATTAGAATAGGTCGAAAATTCAGCATCAGCCGTGACAATATATTAAGAATCGTAGTAATATATATATATGTATTTGATAATGAATATAATTATATGACAAAGGCGGGACATGGAATTAATCAAAATCATACTAAATCACGGGTTTGTGTCAATATCCCGAAGACACTAAATTCTGATACACGAAATCTTGAAAGATCAAAATCCAGAAAGTATAACATCCTGAAAGATCATAATCCTGAAAGATTACGATCCTGAAACATCACAATCCCGAAAGAACGTAATCCTGAAAAGTCATAATCCCGGAAGATAATTGTGATTTTTTAAGGCTATAACCTTCCGGGATTATGTCTTTTCAGAATTATGACCTTTCAGAACTATGATCTATGTTCTTCGGGATTGTGATGTTTCAGGATCGTAATCTTTCAGGATTATGATCTTTCAGGATGTTATACTTTCAGGATTTAGTGTATAAGAATTTATTATCTTCGGGATATTGACAAAAAAAGCCCTTGGTAGCATGCACGGCCCTTAACGGCCTTGGGGGGCCGTAAGGCCACCTTTAGCCCCTTAACATTACGTTAAATATTGATATCATTTGCATTCGTTTTATGTTCTTAGCAGTGTATTTAATGTATAAAATAATATTCTTAGGCGTTAAAGGTAGAATAAAATCAAATAATTTATGAATGATCAAACTTTAACAGATACTTCATTTAAAGAAAGCTTATCGCAAATTATAAGTATTAATTCATACTGTATGCTTTTACAATAAATAAACGAAAAGTAAACAGTAAATTTTTATTAAAATTTTTTAAAGGTTGCTGCTTTGACGATAAATAAATCAAAAACGGGGTTTTTTTTTTAAAAAAAAAACAAAATTTGAATTACTAGATTAAACTACATATATTTTATTGGCTTAATAAACAGCATGTTTCTGCATTTCGAATGAGTATTTTTATTAGTTTACATATAAAGCACATATAGTATGTTAGACATACACTGTATTTTTTTTTTTTTTAAGCAATCTTGTCTTTATTTATTGGAACTGCTCATTAATGAAAGTACAAAGCACTTGCATTTTTAAAGCGTAATGTTCTAATCTAATAAAAACTCACCAAGCAAAATGCCCAATGTGACCTGCTATAACAACTATTAGTCTCACTTAGGATTCAATACTTGCGTCAAATTTCATACTGATTAGAGTACACCCCTTGATTATGGACAGGTTGTTGTCTACCTTGTCAAGATCACCCATCTTCCTTTAAAACTTTTTCCACCTAGATCCTGGCAGAATAATTAAATTTCTTACGTTTGTATAAGGGAAGAAAATAATGTCAAAATTTACAAAAGACCAGAAATTTAAGGCATATACAAACAAGAATTAAACAAAAACTCTAAACTCTATCTATACATAAAGGGAAAAAGATGAAAAAAGCAAAAAAAGACAGGTGAACCTGACACATGTAAGAAACAAAGATGTACTATTATAACCCATGCCAGGTTAATAAAAATTATATACAAGAGCAACATCTGTATATCTCTACTGTAAGACTATGCCTTATCATTATTTTTCTTTCTGACCCAACTCTGGATTTTTTTTTTTAACAACCTAATTCATATCTCAAGCAGGTGCTGCCGCTATCTGTAGACCCGTATCTTAAGCCACTTGCTGCTGTAATCAGGAATTTCTTTTTTGACTAGGACCTGTTCCAGCACTTGAATGTCGTATCCATTTTCGAATACGTGTTGCCATCTACCGGCCTATTCAGATTTGGAGGTAAACAATATCGATCTTTTGGAGAGGGTAAGCCAAATCCCCACTTTTTGGAAAAATTTTAAAAAAACTGACAAGAAAGCGAGAAAGGAGGGAAGGAACTACTTGGCCAAGAAAAGAGTGTAAGGCTACTTTAAAACAGTTGTTTGCTGTTCTCCAGGTAAGTCAGATGCATATGTAATTTCATTATCAGAAGTAAAAAATCTCTTTTATTAGAATTTTTTGCACAAGGGCGTACCCTCCTACCAGTTATCTTGTACAAGAATGCTTCTAACTTGCATGATAAATGTATAGAGGAGTCCCCAAGCCAAAGCAAAGAGAAGACCAACTTGGTTAACCTCTATAAAAACCGTTAATATGCGTCTACTTCAGCTCTAACTCCAGCAAACTTCTATTTTTTCTATTGGAAGGATTGGTCCAAATAATTATTGGAAAAAGTTGTAAACGAATCATACACTGTATTTTTAGATTTGCATAGTATAGTAATATATTTAAGTAGTAGTTTAATTTATAATTATTTACAGTATATTTAATAAAACCAATTCTTTTACCAAAACAAAAACAAGAAAAAAAAACCTTCTTTTATAATTTACTAGATAACTTGACTCTTGGCTACTAAGCAAAGTTACTGTATATTTCTAAAAATAAGCTACTCCAAAAATAAGCTACCTCTCTTTTCTTGAAAGAAAAACATAAAAAATTTTTTTGTTCTGAAAATAAGCTACCTCTATAATTTTTTATTAAACAAAAGTAGTTTATATATATATATAAGTCAAAATTTTACTAAGTAAATCTTATTTTTGTCACTTAATAAAAGTTGTTCAGAATTTAAAATGCAAAACTAAACTAATAAAAATCATCTAAATTGTATAAATATGTGTATTTTTATATTCTAAATAACTTTTATTAAGTGACAAATATAGATTTACTTAGTAAAATTTAATTTTTATATATAAAAACTACTTTTGCTTAATAAAAAATAACTAAGAATTTATATAATCTGAAAATAAGCTACTTTGGAAATTTTTGTATAATTTTTTGCCTAAAAAGGTAGCTTGTTTTCAGAAATATAGTCAGTAAATATACCAAATTAGAAAATCTGATTCTAGAATGATTTACATGTTAATTCTCACACTTGATTGGCTTTTGTGCATGTTTTTGCAACTATTATTTAGAAATTTTATTTATTTAATTTATTATTACAAACTTTTAAATAAATATATGAATAGATAAAAATAATTAACTCTTTCTGATGATCATCTGTACCAAAAATCCAAACACATTTTTTGTAAAAACACAATAGTGTTTAGTAAAAACAAAGGGTATATTAGCAGCAATAAGTCAGCAGTTGTTATTTAGAGATAGTTCTTATATACTACTTGCTAACTTCTCTAGAGTTTATCACTCACTGCATACACAGCACTTGTTGTTTAGAAGTAGTTCTCATATACTACTTATCAACAAGCTCAGAGTTTATTATCATTTACTGAAAAATAATGTATAGGTGCTCTACCCTTTTCTAAAAGAAGGTTTAGAAGTTGTTGAATCTTTTTATAGATATAATTTCTTTCCTTGGGTGCAAGTGGTTTCTCCACAGGTCTTTCTTATTGCTCAGCTGGTTTTTCAAAAATTTTCCAAAAAAAGTAGACAATTGGCTTACTCCCTTTAAAAAATTAGCATTGTTTACTTACTAAATTCAGATGTATCCAGGAATATAACCACATACCTTGTTTATTGGCAAATACAAAATGCTATGTAATCAGTAAATATAGATTTTCTACATGACTGGGATCAGGTTTCTAGTATAAAAAACATCTGGAGATAGTCAGTAGTCAAATGGTATTATAGTTGAGATATACAAATATTGCAGTTGTTATAAAATTTTTTCTTAAACCTGACACAGATTATAATAGTATAATTTTCTTTTTTTTGTTTGGTTCATTCTATTTGTACTATTTTTTGATAGAGGTAGTTCTTTC